GTATGATAATCTCTAGCATTGAGTCACAGTTGGGAGAGACTCCAAGGAAAGATGCATTTATTGTTGTTGTGAAGTTTGATGAACTTCTGTGGTTTTGGTGCCTCTATTGATACTATAATTCTTTTACTATATAATTTTCTTTTCTTTAGTGCTTCTTTTCCTAATTTTCTTTAAGTAAATTTATATATTTTAATTTGAAGCAATAAAAGAGTGGAGTTGGACTCTTTAATCTTTTGGTGCAGGAGAAAATTAAGAAGAAAACGATGAAACCAGCTTTTCCCAAGCAAGATACCTTGGCAATGAAAAAGAATATGATGAAGTAAGCTTGTCAAGGGCCAAACTGGAAGAGAAGGAAAAAGAACTTGCAAATGTTTACAGAGAAAATGAGAACCTAAAGTAACAAATGAACGAAAAGTCTTTAATTTGGAGGCATCATCAGTCAAGGTAAAGGAATAAGAAATTACTCTCTATTTGAATTTTGAAGCAGGTTAAAGATGACCTGGCAATCTGGCATCAAAATGTTCGGCGAACTCTGGAGAAAGAAGAGCCAGAAACAATAAGAGTATTATATTTGGTTTTTGTTTCCTTGTTTTTCGTTTCTATCTGTTGCTGTTGAACTCGACTTTGGTCAGTTTCACCATAAATAGGCTCGGCAATTGTTATCTAAAAAAACTTAATTCATTGTATATTTAGATTGGAAATAAAGTAGTTTATTTTTCATGGTGTTCACCTATCAAGGAGCTGCCATGAAATTTATCTTGACCTACATATTGGATATTAGAAGTTATAAATATCATTTTTAACACTGTTCTATAGATATACATTAAAAGTGGATGGGAGAAAATGATATTCACTCAATTGAACCTGTCAATTTTCATTAAAAGTGGTCAGTTTTTGTTACACTTAACATTTTCTTACATTAATGATCCTAGCAGGTTCCTGATGATTTTAATCCCTAGAGATTACTAGCATTTACACACATGACATGAGAGAAGACATTGAATTGGTAAGAACCCTCTCTACTGAGATATACATATATTAATGTTCACTAGTAGTAAATATACTTTTTTCTCTTTTCTGCTCATTAGTTTTAAGCCTCCATGTTCAGAACATTAGTTATGGTTAAGTGATCACAATATGACATTCATTTGCAAATTTGGATGTATAGCATATAAATTGAGTATTTGAATTGCTTAATTATTGTTATGGCTTCAACCCAAAAAAATAACTAATTGTATTCTTCTTGCACACTAGATTCCTGCAAATTCATCAAATGACTGAAACGAAAAGGAATCTCATTTCTACACTAATATGAGTTAACCCAATGGTAAGTATATTTGACTCTACTTATCATGAGTTAAGGGAATGTTTTGAGTGCAGATATAGTTGCTATTTGAGTGTAGATATATTTGACTGTACTTATCATGAGTATTAGATCAGCCATATAGTTGCTATTATCTATGTGGTTGTATATTCATACATGGTGTTGATAAGTTTTCACTATATTTTTACTTTTACTCATGCTTCTACTTTTTCTATGTGCCTTGCTTTACAGATTTTAATTGTGTTTGTTTTTCATTCAACTTGTAGGTATTCTGCATTCAAATCCATCATTCAATCAACATGATGTTGCTGTGAGAGCACTGGGCATTGTTTTCAGGAAAACTACGGATACCTTATAAGTTTATAGTAATTGTATTTGATGCTATTTGTATGCCTTCAAATTATATGGAATTTTGGATGAGTATTGTTGGTAGAATATGATATGTGGGAATATTGTATTTTTGTAAAACTCGTTTTTTTTTATCATATGAGTTAATGTGATTCTCTTAAATGTTTTCATTTATTGATATTGAATTGTTGTATTAAAAAATATGGATGCAAAGTGAAAAAAAAAAGCATTTTGGTTTAACAAATCAGCAAATTGGTATATAGAGAACGGTCATTGTAACTTGTAAGTAGGTATTTAATAACGGTTAACTTCTACCATGTGTTAAATGTGTAGCGAATTGTATTACATTCTATAACGGTTCATATAGTAAACCGACATTGAAAACATTTCATAACGGTTCCTCAACCCCATATAAAAAGCGTCCCACTTTCAATGTCGGCGGGATCTATGTCGGGTCTGGAACCGACATAAAAAGTCAATTTTAACCGACATAAAAAGTGTTTTTTCCACTAGTGAGGAATGGAGGTTAACTTGTTATTATGCATTCTCGGATACATGCCGACGACGGGAGGCATGGCAGATGTTGAAGGATTTGTTATTCAAGTAGACGAATTGTGCCGAATGCTGATCGGGGTGTTCTGGACCACTTTGGGCCCTATGTTTCCTCAGGACCCCTTCATACTTTGGGTCGGGTATATTGGGCCTGGACCCAATATCCCAACAATGCTATTTGTACTCTTGCAAGGAGTTCTATCACCAAGATTTTAGTAGTCAGGATATTCATGCTTTGGAATTCGAGCTGCAACACTATGTCCATGATGTGATTCATGATACTCCGTACAAAGTTTCAAGTGAATTATGTGAGTAGTTGACTATGAGTAAAAGATCTGATTCATATGTTATGATGAACAGATCATTTCGCCGTGTATTGATCTTACTGTTTCTATTGCAACAGTACTAGAACGATCATTTTTTGCCATGAAACTTCTAAATAAAGACAACACTTCGCAACAAAATTGATGATAACCTTCTTGCTGATTGCATGATACGTTATGTTGAAAAACATCTTACTCTTAGTATAGATGTATACCCTATTATTGACGAGTTTTTTTTGTTTCAAAGCCTCATCGAGAACAAATTTAGGGGAAAACTCTTATATTTGCTTTTTTGCTTATTTTGAATTTTTTTAATGTATTACTCCATATCATTTAAGTGTTTCAGCCCACCCCAACATGAAATGCTGGATCCGCCCCTGATATTGTGAAGGATTTTGAAAGGTTCGCAAAAATGTGTATACCATGGTAACCATGCATTGTTAAGTTACACTTTTTGCACACAGAAAATATGTGTGCAGTTTGACTAGTGTTTTTTGTATGTTCTAAAGTTATTATGAATTGAGGTGGTTTGTTTGTTTGATTTATTCTAATCTGATATAGTCTTATATCTTTGTGTTTGATACTAGCATGTGTTTGATATATCTGGTCAATAGCCATATTGCCATATTGGTTAATTGGTACATTAAGAATTGGTCTTTGATTTGATCTAATTTAATTTATCTTGATCGAATAGTCTTGGGATGATATAAGTCGAAATCCAGATGTCCGTAAACTCATAAATGCTTGCAACTATTTATTAGTCAACCTTCAAGAATCAAGAATTTTAATTCAACAGTGGCGAGCCGTAAAAAAAAGTCAGCGCTCAGCACCATCAATGGAGGTGAAGAGGTCGTTTGGCAACACCGTTTTTCGGCTTATCAGATTTATCAGTCATTTTTTCACCAATTAAACACGTAACTTTTGATTTGGCACGCTGAATTGTGTAATAAGCAAAAAAAAAGTAAGGTTGTAGTTACTTTTCTGTATTGGCTGAAGTTACTGTAGATGATCATTTTAGCTATTGTTACATATAACTTTTTCTTTATTTTTATTAACAAAATATATTTTAAACTTATTTTTTTCTTAAATTAGCAGAATCAGCCAGTGCAGCCACTTCAATATGAACTTCACAAATTTCAGCAGAATCAGCCAAATCAGCCGATTTTCGTGCTACCAAACGTGCTCTATTATTTGGTAGTGTCAAACTATCAACTATCATATATGGTGATATTTCACAAATAAGTAGTCGAGTCATCTAGCTTTCAGTTTTCTCCCCATTATTTGTAATATTTAACTTACCAGACAAATACTGCAACAAACAAATCCCCACTTATTTATTTGATTTATGGAAAACTTTGCCAACTTTACTCATCCTCTTCTAAGGTGGTGGAAATATATATGGCATATTAAAAAGGGATTATTGATGCATACTGATACAATAGACATAGATGCAGTGGCGAAGCCAGAAAAACGGGTCAGGGAGGTCGAAAATCAACTATGTACAAAATAAAAATGGTAGATCGTTTTTCGACAATGTCCGAGTTGAATGTTTCATTTGTAGTTTAGATAAATAGGCATTGATCGTCTTTGCTCTGTTTTTTAATCATGTCACGTAAATAATGAGTTAATTATACGTTATTTTTAAAATTTGGGAAAATAATTAATATTATACATCAAATTTTGCTGATTTTACGTTGCTGATTTTTCAGAAGTCGTAACTTTTTACTCGTAATGAGTTACAGGGGCCATAATATATCAAATTGAAAATATTTCAGAGCTCTATACTCCAAACTTTCAGCGGGGTCAGCTGACCACCCTGACCCCTTGGCTCCGCCCCTGCATACATGTCAAAAATTGTGAAATTCATATTTCATTCATCAATTTTATTTTAACAGATAACACGATAAATGTCATCAAGGCCTCGCATGCATACAAGTTCACCAATACAATCCAGAACTAATAGGTTCAACAAAATAAATACCGAAGTATAACATTGGATTAAGTTTGCAAATAAAAGTACAGTAAAAGTAAGATATTTTTAATTAAATTTCGAAATGCACGCGACACCCGAACGTAGACTCCTTCTGTCCTTCATCAGTACTTTCTTTCATCCTTCATACGGCTTTATTTGCAACGACTTGTGCTTAAATAAAAGCATTTTTTGAAAAAAAGTGGTTAGTAGTAAAAGTTGGTAGTGTTTGGTATATGTAAAATAAGTGTTTTTTGTGTAATAGAAAAAGTAAAAAGTAGATTCTACACGAAAACCGAGATAGTAAAAGTTGATAGTGTTTGGTAAAATAAATATTTTTTTGCTAAAAAAAAAAGCCAAAAGCACTTATGAATAGAGATTGCAAACAGAGCCTAAACAAATATTCGAATGGCATGAAAAAAGGGGAAAATCAATTTTATTCCTACTTCTAAATTCATCATGGTATAAGAGCCTAAACAAATATTCTCTTAGTTCGTACATCCTCTGCTCAGCAACGATCGTTCGTAGCACCAGCGTGATTCACGCTGATCGGATATTACAAACGACGCAGCTATGCCTGACATTAATCGGGCGTGTCATGTTTTCCTTCAAGAAGACGACGCAACTTTACCATCTGTACGACCCCAGGGACGACTGGACAAGGCTGCCCGCGCTAGTTCTTCTCAGTCACGGGGTGTTCGTGCGCATACAATCACAACAACCTCTTCCCAGACAGTTGATGCCTCCTGTGATCGTATGACGGATACGGTATCTTCTTGTAATTGGATTATAGATACTGGGGCGGCTTCACACCATGTGACGGGTGATCCTTTGTGTCTTACTAATATTGTACGTATTACTGGCTGCCCGGTTGGACTACCCGATGGACGGGTTGTCGTGGCTAAAATGGAAAGCTATACATATTTATTCTGCGGCCCATAGTGGTCTGCCTAACATGTGATCCAATGTTTTAGGCAAATAAATGAAATTTGAAGTTGTTTAATTCTAATGTATCAAATTATCTTTTCACAAAAGTATGATTTAATTGTAAACAACAGTTTTTTTGTATTTTCTCCACTAAGAGATTGAAAATAGGTTTAGTAAGAGTTTTAGACAATCTAAACTTTTTGTGAGATTTATTAGACTATGCACATATCTTTCTACTTTGGTTTTATTTATGTTAAAAAGTAATTCTACATGTGTTGAAGTTAAAACAATTAAAATGAACTGTTTATACCATTCGTAGTAGATTCTTGTTTTTTAAAGAGAGAATTCACACTATGGCTCATTTAAGTTTGACACGGCAGTTTTAAAACAAGCTGACCAATATACCCTTAATGAAAGCAAGCTCCAAATTTTGTTTTTTTTGCTGATTTCTTTATTTAATGCTGATTAATACGTAGTACTTCGCATTATTGTAAAACAAAAAAAACAACACAAGCTTTACAAAGATGTGCGCAACAACTAACATCACAGGCCATACCGTCGGCAGCCACTGGCAACTGCCAAAATTAAAAGCATCGTCGCCGGCCGCCACAAAAATGGAAATCGACGTTGCTAGTCGCAGCCCCTGAAACACTGTTTTGGCCGCCACATATTTAATGGTTGTTGCCAGTCACTGCATTAGAATCGCCATCATAGGCCATAGTCAGGCATGGTCGCTGCCGCCCACCTCATATGGCACAAGAATCGTGTCTTCTGGCACTGCCGCCTTCTCCTACGGTGAGATTGTTGCAGATCTATGTCTTGCGCATAGAACTACAGCGGAATGCCATCTTAAGAATTCGGTGTCATCTTAACATTAATTGCCAAAATATCAACTTTCATAATGAAAACATGACATTATAACTGATGTAATGGATCGGAACTAAATGTCAAAATGACACCTTCCTTGTAATGGCACAAATTGCCAAACTATGATATTTTTTTAAATGAAAACATGGCATTACAAGTGATATGTTGTTAAAAATATAATATTTCAATCTTGAGATGGCATCAATTTTTTAATAAAAATTTCAATATTGGATAGAAATACTTTAATTCAATTTTTGAATAAAAATTCTCAGATTGAAAATAATAAATATTTTGATTCAGCTTTTGAATAAAAAATTTCAGATTGAAAAGGATAAGAAATATTTTAATTCGATTTCTGAATAAAAATTTCCATTATAAGTGCTTTCTCATATCAAACATTGCTAAACTGCTTTCTTCAAAAAATGTTGGGATAAATGATAAAAGGAGATGCATTATACTATAGCAAGGATTACTCACGATAAAGTAATTACTTGGACGGTAATTTATTGGTCTAGTTTGGTATGATCTGGTCTGATCTGAACTAGTCTGGTCTGATCTGGTAAATGTCTAGCCTATGTTTATTTTATAACTGATATGATCTGATTTGTTCTAGTCTGGGAGTGAAAACAGTCCAAGTAAAAACATCCTCAATAGCAATTTGTTCACTAGGTAAAACATATTTAATAAAAAAATCTAGTTTGCTTAAATGGGACGTGAAATTCCATATATATTAGCATTAAAAGTAAATTGTCTTATATGTGTACACTATGTTGTTATTTTGAAACTTGCTAATGTCCTATATTATTGATTTCAAAATAACAACATAGTGTACACATATAAGACAAGCGAAAAGTCCAATACACCATAATTTATTGTATATAAGTTTCAAACAATTAAAGAAATTCCAAAAATATGCAACATAGCCAAAATACATATTTTCTAACATTTGTATTTAAACATGTTGTCTAACATCACATACAAAGTTGACACATACATGGTGGGTGGTAAACACAATTTATATATTTTAATAACAATATAATAAAAAAAATATAACAAAATCATCTTTAACAAATAATTAAATTCCATAGAAAGGAATAATTCAATAACAATAAAAAGTAATAAGATATTTATGAATCATTTAATCAATAATTTGAAAACAAAAGGATGTTACTGCAACTCAATTTAAAATCCTACTTCTAGCAAAGGAAACAAAACTATTTTAAAACCGATTATCACAAAACTATTAATAAATTAATATACAATATATATAATGGGCTGGGCCGGGTACCCGTTATTTTTAAATTTTGGAACCGGTCCGATTCCTTAAAAAAATTACCCTACCCGGACCGTTTTATGCATGCATGGGAACAAAAAATGGAACCGGCCCGTTTTGGACCCGAACCGCCATTACCCGGACCGGACCGCGGTTCCAAGACCCGTTTGCCCACCCCTAGTATGAAACAATCAAGTTTTCATTTTATCTATTCATATGATATGAAAGTGTTTTGGGAGTATAGATAATTTATATTAACTTGTTTAGTAGGGATTGTTATTGTAGAACCGCTAGACTACAAATTATTAGTCTTAATTTCATCAAATAAATTTGAATATGATAACCGTTTAATACCTAAAACCAAATTAAAGATTAAAAGACAAATATATTCACTATACGAAAATGGATTATAATAATATAATGAAAATTAGTAAAGATTAATTAAAGTATAATTACATTTACTTTTAATGCCAATATATATGGATTTTCATGTCCAATTTAAGCAAACTAGATTTTTTATTAAATATGTTTTACCTAGTGAACAAATTGCTATTGAGGATGTTTTTACTTGGACTGTTTTCACTCCCAGACTAGAACAAATCAGATCATACCAGTTATAATATAAACTGAGGCAAGACATTTACCAGATCAGACCAGACTAGCTCAGATCATACCAGATCATACCAAACTAGACCAATAAATTTCTGTCCAAGTAATTACTTTATCGTGAGTAATCCTTGCTATAGTATAATGCATCTCCTTTTTTCATTTATCCCAACATTTTTTGAAGAAAGCAGTTTAGCAATGTTTGATATGAGAAGGCGTACAAATGTACAATACTTGCCTATTGAATTTGAAATTCACCTACAAGACATAATTAACTGAACATACACACATGAGTATGCAATTCAACCTTAAAACTTTGGAATAGACGACAATCTACATTTATATGTTTTCATTACTAAAAGCAGTTCATAAACGTGAGTTGATTTTGATTCGGGTGGCGTATATTATCTCAGTAAGTGATCATTCTTGCACATAAAGACCAGCTCTTTTTTTTATTATATTACATATCTCTTCTATATATGCAATCATATTGTACCATGAAAGGCAATTACAGAATCACCTTTTTTAGGTATAAAAATCATATGATTATATTATGCAGTGGTTTATATGCTAATTGTTGCAATAGTTACGTTGGTAATCACTTATAGTGGGTCGATTATACGACGGCTCTGTTTGCAATCTCTGTTGATAAGTGCTTTTGGCTTTTTTTTTAAGAAAAAAATATTTATTTTACCAGACACTACCAACTTTTACTATCTCGGTTTTCGTGTAGAATCTACTTTTTACTTTTTCTATTACACAAAAACACTCATTTTACATATACCAGAGAATATCGACACTTAGGGTCCGTTTGGTTGGGGGTGATCTCACATGAAGGCCGGAATGTGATGCACGGAATGTTAGATACCCTTGTTTGGTTCACGGGTTTGAAAAAAAATCGGGAAAGTTACATTCCCGGGAATGTAATATGGATGGGAATCTTAAACCCGTCTATGCCTTAGGTTATCTCACATTCCCGGGGTGATCTGATTTTCTTCCGAAAATACCCTCAATTAATGATATCTTTTCATTTAATTTCTTTATATATTCAATTGTTATCAAATTTGATTTATTGTGACTTTATAAAAATTTTAATTTAGTCTCTAAATATGTAAATTTTATTTACTAAAAATAATCTTATTATTGATAGAGATCGGTTAATTTAATTTCATGGTCTGTCGAACATCGTAAATTGTGTACTACCTTTTAGGTAGGACAGACGGAGTATTGATTATATTTGAATGTCTATTCTCGTTATTTGCATAATTTTTTTCCTTATCATTTTAATTTTTTTAGGTATTTATGTTATAAGAGTTATAGATTATTTAAGTTTTGATTAGTGGATTTCAAAATTTAATAGCAAAGTTGGTCATTTTTTCTTCATTTTGAAAACAACTTTTACGATTAACTTGATCATTTTTAAATATTAATTTTTTTAGATGATAATAAATATATTTATATTACTATTTGAACAAAGTTTTTTTTTCATTTCTTTATTGGATCTACAACTTTTTACAATTAAACATATTTTACTTAAAAATAATTCAATTAGGTTTGATTTTATTTAATATTAAGATATTCATTTTTTCTTTAATTTTAATCACTTTAGATGTATATTGTAATAGATTTATTCCGTTAAGAGAAGATATTTAAAGGGCATAAAAGTAATTCATCAATTTAACATAACCAGCAATCTGACATTCCCTTGATGTTAATCAAACACAAGTGGGAATAAATTGAATACATTCCTGTCAATCTAACATACCCAGCAATCTGACATTCCCATGGTAATCTGACATTCCTTGAACCAAACATACCCTTAGAGTTTTGCCCTCCCTACATTAATGATTCTCTTTTCCTTATATCTGTCATGCACACCTCCCTCCTACCGCACTTGTCATCTTCCACTCCATCCCTCATTATCATTTATTTCTCTCCCATCTTTTATCTTATTTCCCATGTTCTTCTTTCCCATGGATTTCCAAGGCCGAAAAAATATTCTTCTCACCTAGCCTCTACTGTTGTGGTCGATTTCTCTTCTGGTCGTAACTCCAACCATGGCCGGTAACTCCAGTTTGCAGCGCTATGAAGATCTTCTCTGGTAAATATTATCATCCTCTTCCTACATCTTCTTCTCTCGCACCATAGCTCCTCTATATTTTCTTCTCTTGATTTTATTTCTACTTTTTTTTCATTTGTTAAATCTTGATATTCAAAATAAAAAATTGCTAATTAGATCTAGAAATTTGGATCTTATTTTTCTA